AGCGTAAATGTCAGAACGTGGTTACCAGTTCACCAACTTGAAGGTCGTTTCTTGTCAATGGTTTCGTCGGGAGTGGGCTGTAAGTTGGAGGAGGGGGAGGGAGGGAGTGCGCAACGCTTACGCGTGCGACATTTACACAAGTTTTCCATTTTGCCCAAATACAATCTATATTCAGTTAATATGTAACCACATCCGATACTCGATTTGGAGGCCTCAACTTTCAACCCATCTCTGTGCACCTTCAACGCTCCGGTGACATTCTGCCATTGTGCTGGGTCAGTGTAAAAGAAGCAACAACATCGCCCCCGATCTGTTGTCACCTCTCGGCCGCTTGGTGCGTGCTGATTAGCCATGCCCCGGGCTTTGCGGAGCTGCCGTAAAAACTGCGCAAATTATGGGGATGCATCAATTTACTCATTTCCGTTTTCATGATTACAAATACGAAATGTGAAAGAAAGACAACATCAGCATAAAGCCAAATAAACAAATTTATCTACGTTTAGGGTAATATTTTCTTTTTTTATGATTTTATGAATGAATTGAGAGTTGTCGCAGTCCAAGCGTGATTAGATAACGAATTTTTTAATAAAAATTCCAGTTGTAGATCACGTACGTGCTTAAACAATTTGAAGTGTAGTTCTAAGTATAGATTTATCAATAAATTCACGAGCAATTAAGCTGGAATAGAATATGCAAAATTTAGAATTAGTTTTGCGACATTCACTGAATTAATTGGTAAGTAAACAATTTGGTTCTTTTGCCAGCCAATTAAGCAAATTAATGTGAAATGCTTCAAAACTGGACAATACAAAAATGCATGGCATTTATTCAAATGGCAAAACGTTGCGAGATTTTAAAAATTGTGAAAGATTATAGTGTAATACATTGATAACTATGGGCAGTAAAACACAAAAGAACTCAAGTAGAATTTATGAATGAATGAACGAGCCGTAATAAAAAGCAAACATACTCAAATACACACACACATACACATGAATATGTACGTGTAAAACAGGCAAGGCAACTACAACAACAATTCTCACAAATGCACACATACATACACACTACACACATTCATGTGGCAACCGCAACAACAAACATTTAAATGAATGAATGAAAAAGTTGTTAACGCAGCAGTTCCACGAAAAAACAAAACAAAAAAAAAAGACAACAACAGCAAGAAATCTGTGAACAAGAAGTTTGAAAGGTAAAAACTTAAATTAAAACAAAACTTAAATAAGAAACACGGAGCAAGTGCTGAGAGAGCCACAACACAAGCAACAGCCCCAACCTCAGCCTCAGTAAATCCAAGCAACTGGTTTGGTTTGATTTGGTTGAAAGCAGCAGCCGTAGCAGCTGTCCACAAATGTGCGTTAGGCAGCAGTTGGGGAGTCCAAATTATGAATAAATAAAGCCAGGCAGGGAGCCAAAGGCAGCTAAAGTCAAAATAAATACAGACAAAAGACACAAACACAAAACAGCAGTCCAAGCTGAATTGGGAGACGCGCCCACGTCGACGAAAAAGTCAAAGCCAAAGCCAAAGCCGAAGACGAAGACGAAAACGAAGCCGGTTTGCAGGAACAGTGCTGGGGGGCACACGCAAAAAAAGGAAGGAAACAGGCATCAAGCATCATCGAGCCAAAGCAAAAACTACACACACACACACAAACACACTATGAACGAAAAAGAAAAACGGACAAAGAGAAAGAGAGAGAGGGCGAGCACAAGTAGAGAACTTCAACAAAGCAGCGAATCGAAAAAATAACAAAAACAACTAAAATTCCCCTCAATGGCCATCCAAAAAAAAAAGAAAAAAGAAAAAAACGCAGCCAGCTAGCCCCCAGTCAAAGCGAGCGAATGTTGCTTCTGCTGTTGCTGTTGCTCTTCCTATTCCCCATTCATCAACTGCATTTCAACGCCGCGAGGCGATCAAGCAGCAGCAGCAGCAGCAGAGCCAGAGACTTTTCTACTCGCACCGTAAGTATGAATGAAAACGAACGTGTTTTTTTTTTTAATTTTTTTCTTGTTTTTGTCGAGAGCGTCGCGAGAGTAACATGAATGAATGGAAACGAACGTCACAGTGAGCGAGTGAGAGAGCGAGCGAGCGTCCAAAATGAATGAAAGTTGTGGCGCTCTCTTCTGCAGTCGCGGCCTCTGCCCGCCGTTCAGTTTGCTTCTCTTTGCACCAATACACGCGGAGCATGTAACAATTTCATACGAATCATATCATATTAAAAAATTATATTTGTTCTACGTTTTTCGTGTCGCTCTTGCGGCTTTTTTTTTTGCTTTTCTTCAAAGTTTATGATTAATATGCGCTGATTAAAGGCGCGCAAATAAATATACATTGTATAAACATACACATATAGATATATATATACAAATGTAAATAATTTTAATAAGGGCAGACTGGATACATTTATATGTATATTTGTCTGCATATATAAATATATATGTCTGTGTGTATCTTTCGTTCCTATATACACACATATATACATATGTATGTATATAAAGTAAAGTAAATTTACGTGCTCCGTTGCCTTTTCCCCCTATTTATTATTATTATTATTTTTGTTCCCTTTCATTTGGGTGCCCAGCATCTGCGCAGTTGTCGCCGTTTTGCATGTTTTTTGTTGCCATTTTTATGGCCGATCTTCTAGCGGCAAAAGATAAGTTCATGCCCAGCTACGAACATGATTAGTAAGGAGCAGCGAACAGGGAACAGGGAACAGGGAACAGGGAACAGGGAATGCGAATGGGAATGGGAATGGAACATGGGGCTGTTGCTGTGACTTTGACTGGGGCCCATACAACAAAAACAACAACAAAATGTGTATGGTATAGTTGGCCACTGACTTTTGTCGTACGTTTGCGTCGCGTTGACATTGAAATTGTTTTGGTTTTACTTTTTGTTGATTTTTACGCAGCGATAAGGCACACATATTTTTGTATATCTGCGAGTCGCATGTATGTGGTTGTGTGTGTGTGTGTGTGTGTGTGTGTGTGTGTGTGTGTGTGTGTGTGTGTGTGTGTGTATGTGTCCGAAGACAAAAATATCTCAATATGTGATTTGTTTTTATAAACAACATTAAATGCGAACTGCCAGTGCATTGTTCAAATTTTACTTTGCATGCCCACAAATTCATTAAGTATCTGTAAGATACAAATCTATGTTCTCATAAGAAAAAGACTTAAAGTTGTTAACAAATACGATTGACAATAATACCCATTAAATGTGTTAATATTAAAGAATTCAGTCTTTGCAAACCGGTTCGAAGCGAACCATTCCTCTTTGAATCGATTCACAAAAATATATCGCTTGAGTGTCAACCGAATTTAGTACCTTAAGCTGAATTCAATAAATATTATTTATATGTATTAAATATCTAACGAAACCCTTCAAATTTTATAAGAAACTAATAAACTTTGAAATTTATTTAATTGGGAGACAATAAAAAATTAAAAACTGATCACAGTCAGAATAAACAGAATAAGATTTAATACTAGACTGGCTTAAGTCAACCTTACTTTAATACAGCCTCTTTTTATTATAATTTAGGGTGTTGAAAACGCTTTGTTCTTTCTACGAGTTTCCCATCATTGTACCTCAAACTAAGAGATTTTCATCAACATTCACACAGCAGAGATGCATGCAAATTACCATAAAGCTGCCAAATTCATTAATACATAAAAAACACATAGTATTTAACTACATATGCATATGTGTGTGTGTGTGCAATAGAATCAGACATAAGTGGCAGCATGCAGGCGCACAGTGGTGGACAAGAGTATAGAAGACACATGCCAAATGAACGACGACGACGACTTTTTGTCACATAACGTATACGTAAGGTATGTTGAAAGAGTGAGTGACGGTCGTATTGCCTGATTGACAGCAGCAACAGGCAGGAGGCACTGAGACTCTGAGGCACTGAGGTGACCAGGAACGCAAGGGAGCACACACTGAGTGCACATTTAAGATATTTATTTCATGTATTCCAAATGCAAATGTGTGTGTGCGAGTGTGTGAGAGTGTTTTGCTGTTCGAATTGAATGACTTGACTTGGGGGCGAATGAGTGAATGAAAGAATGAATGAATCTGTAAGTTCGCTTGGCACTTTGCCGGCGTTTTGGGGCGCGGTGACTGGTTGTGTGTGTGTGTGTGTGTGTTGCCTGTGCCACCGAATGGACACCGGAAATAAACGACGTGACTTTTAACAAATACGAACCAACTATGTATGTATATGCATGCATAATATTTTAAATACATGTACACTTATTAGATCTATACGATCTATGCAACAAATTGCCTCCACAATATCTTTCGTTCGCATTGTTTTCAACAGCGAACAACAATCACAATTTTTATATGGCAGTGCGTCTGTGGCTTATCTTATCGCAAACAATTTGTATTTGGTATTTTTTTTTATCGCCCGTGCAAAAAGCAAATGCGAATAATAAACTTGCAAACACAAATCACAAAGCCAAAGAGTCTGAACATGACTGATGATGCGCGTGTGTGTGTATGCATGAGTGTGTGTGTGTGGGTGTCTGAGTGTGTGTATAATATTTTTAATATATGTGCATACCCAGAGTCTCTGCGAAGCTCTCCCAATTTGAGTATAGATACATACACACATGAATACCAACACAGATACACACAAGTTCATCTGTGTGTGTGTGTGCCAAGATAGCGCACAAGACTCGTATATATAATCGTATAAGAAGAGACGAAGCATTCGCACAACATATTGCCATTTAATTATTTCCATTTCCAAGAAATGTGTTTGTTATCTATAAATGTCTGCAACATTAGCTCCCATATCAAAATAGAGTTAACTGCTGCGACATTCTCATTGGGTACATTGGAATTTGGAAATACGAGGCAAAAACTATTTTTTTTATTTTGGGAGTCCCATTGGAAGTCACCAGTTTAATCAAATTTGATTTAAAAGCGATTCTTAGATTAATAAAAAAAATGTTGTGTGCTTTACACTTACCCAGTGAGGCCTCATGATCTGAAATATCCGATAATCTGCACACAGGCAAGTCCTTGCAGTCACTAACTGGTTCCTCTTTAATATATTTTGTTGTGGACTATAAAATAAATGCAGAAAAATATTGTTATTGTTATTGATTTTTGTTTTATTTTTGCCAGCACCTAAATATAGCCAGTTTGCTCCATCTTTCTTTTTGTCTATTAGTCTTGAAAGATTCCTTCTCTAGACAGACAGACAACTGAGATAACGAAGATTGTGTTTCCAAACTTGAAGACAACCTTTCGTTTTTTCTGTCGCCAAAGGTGTGGTCATTTTCTAAAATTGGGGCGATTCATTTTCTGATTCATTTCCATTTTCTAAATGACAAGAATCATTTCAATAGCTGCTAGATGACAGTGATCCGATCCGTCTGGCTGCAATCAAAGTACATATTAACTGACTGCACTAAAGAAATGGAAATAATCAAAAATTAAAACTACTGCTAATTTTCTTGGAAATATACAGATAAACAGACAAAACGGACTGACACTCGAGTAGAGATGCTGATCTATAATATATATACTTAATGAGGTCTCCTTCCACGCGATACAAATTGAAAATATAAACAAATAATTAAAATTCAGGTCACACTTTATTAAAGCTGAGACGCCAATGTTTTTAAAAACTTTTCAGATTTCAAATCTTAGTTTTTTGCAAAGTTGAGCTGCCATCAGATAATTACTGATGCCCTAGTAGATCTGACCCACATAATGAATGATGTCAAATGGTCGCAGCATTAGGGTAGTTAGACTTAAATATAGTATTTTGAGCTTGGCCACTTTTGGCCAGTTAGCGAATTTGAGTGAGGCCCCCTAAAAAAACGGGGGCGCAATCAAAACAGTAGACACTACAACATGGAATAGATTGCCGGCAATTGTCTGTCGAGAGGAGGAGGGAGGAGACTGTTGTCCAAATTGCCGAGTCGGTCCCATGGGCTTGATCATGGCAAACGCGTTCTAATAAATTAAATTGTACATTTGACATCCACACACATAGCCACACACACAAAGACGATGATCAGTGGAGATGGGGGGATTATTTGTGATGTGTGTCTGAGGCTGCTGTTTCTGTCGTTTATTGCCGTTTATGATAATGGAGGTCAAAATAGTCAAACGAAATGTTTCATAAATATCGTAATCAATTGACGCCAAGCAGACAATTCAATTTGAATCTCGAATTGGAATTTGATTCGACGCTCAAGAGTCTCAACAGTCTCTGAAAAAAGTTTAGCTTCTGTTATGTGGTTAGCTTTGAGACCCCCCCCCCCAACCCCCCCACAACCAAAAAAAAAATAAAATATATATATATATAAATATATATACAAAGCCGAAACTTAAGACACGACTTTTGTCCAGACTATAGATTAAATTACTTGACTGCATTTTCCACACGAATGCGCATGCGTCCAGGTTCAAAGCAGGTCCTTTGACTCTGGCTGGTTCGTCAGGCTGTTGACCGAGCAACCGGATGAAAGTGGTCAGTCCAACGGATATGTTTACCGCAAACTATGCCAACGACATACATTTACTTAAATACCTTCACAAGCTTTAAAAATCAACTAAGAATGTTCGACGTCGAGATATCCTGATCCCTGTTAAAGATTATATTTCAATAGGAATTGGAATTGATTTTTTCGATTTTTTCTATCGTTATTCGCGAAACGTGTGCAATTATCGATCAAACTTGACCTGCTCTGGATATACATGAAATTTGTTGTCTCTCGCACTTATAGACTCTGAGATCCAGTAGCCAATATCTCGACTTAACTTCTTCTTATAGAGAAATGTGATCTTAAAAATAATTCTTACGATGTGTGACAAACTTCATTTAAAAATGCATATACCCTTGCGAGTGTATGGGATATTCGAAAATCGGATCATCATGAGTTGAGATCTGATCGGGGTATTGTCTGTTATAATGAGGCGACCGGGAGAAGCCTTATAAATGCCACATATTGACTGTATTGTATCCTCACCATTGTCTGCCATTTTCGGAAGAGTTGCGTATATTCTTGATTGTTCACATTTCTGGCAAGTCTCTGGGCTTACTATTTATGTTGTAAATTAAGTGGCACACCTATCACTTTCATAGCTAATAAACAAAAGATTTTAGGCAAACAGCTCTCAACGACAATGATTTACACTACGTTTAGTTGTGCTTGGCTCTTCTTCATCAAAATAAAATATAAAGTGGACAACAAATAATTCATATAGACTTCAATTTAGTTGCTGATCATCTTTTTATTTATAGATTTGTGTCTTTTAAATTGAGCTTGCCGGACTTTCAGATTGTAGGGTGTTAAGACACAAAAGCATAATACAAAATAATTGCGTTTTGTTTGGTCAGCCAAATCTAGAATCAATCGACGTGCTATGCATATCAAAATTGCCTCAAGATCGCGTCAACCTGTCATTGCTGTAGCTGATCAAATGTGAAGCCTGCCAAACTGGCATGGAATAATATGCATACATGATCAATCAGCCAACTGATTTACAGTCAAATCTAGCTATGATCGCTCTCCAGGATTACAGGTGCATACAATTTATTTATGAACAATTTATACAAAGTACGTCAGGGCAATCGGCAACTGATCAAAAGTTTAATCTATGAGTGGTATCAACTTATTATTTATGCGGAAAATATTCCCAGAGAATCCAGACAATCGGCAGCTAATAGATTACCTTGATCAATTTTTATATTAATTAATTTACTAAGAGTTACATAAAAGAGTTACAAAAACATGAAGATTTGATTTTTATCTTCTTCAAATCAGGGAGAATCAAAGTAAGCTTTTGACACAAGATTTTCATTCAGAATTTTTGACAACTTTGGGACAGATAATTTTAATAAAATGAGTTTTAAGAGTTTACCTCAACCAGGCTGGAGAGAAATGTGACTTTTCGATTCTTTTTAAGCCGCATGTTGCTGGTGGTGTTGTTGTTGCCGCTGTTGTTTAATATAGAGTTGGTGGAATTGTAGTTGGTCTTAAATAAATGTTGTCCCGCGTTGAAGCCAAAGAGATCGTTGATATTCACCGCCCTATCAAGGAAGGAGTGTGTTGCAGTTGCCGTTGCCGTTGTTGTTGCAATTGCCGCTGCGGTTGGCAGCACGGGAGGCAGCATAAATTTGGTTGCAGACAGATCTGTCTTACAAATCGCCAGTTCCATATTGTGCACTCATCTAGAATGGTAGGAAAACAAACAAAATAATTGGATAAATAATCAATCAAATTAACGTATTGTTGCCCTTGCTCCACATGACCATTGCAACGGCGCTTCGAAAGGCTCAATTGGCCACGTTATTTAGAGTAGTATTGGGCCTATTAGTTAACAGCCAGCCCGCCTCAGTATGCTTTATAGACCTCGTTCACACCTTCAACTATGGCCGCTGTTAGCACCTTTCTGCTCAATTTGAGCCAGGGATGCGTTATTGACTCTAGAAATTATGACACTCTGGTGCGACTCAACACACGTCTGGGCATAGTATATACATTGGTAAGTAAGTACACAGTGTGTACACAGTAACAGCGATCGGTGCTTTTTAAAATTGCTCGCGACACGAGACACACAAAGATCAAAGTGTTGTCCGCCCCATTTTGAGCAGCTCAACGGCGACAAGGCCACAACAAAAGGAGCCGCTTCGGTTTGCATATAAAAGACGGTTTTGTTTATACAGCATCCATCATATAGTTTGTATTGTTTTGTTATTTTGAGCTAAAGGGGTTTGATATTTGTACAATTTTCTAAATATATATTTCTAATGGATTTATATTTGTGGCTGCAGTTCTTCAATATTTGCCAAAGCCACAAGGAATGACGCTGATGTTAAAGTGTTGCTTTCACAGAATCGGCTTGTTGTTAAAGTTGCTTTGATGTTGCATATTCCCTCATAAAACAGAAGACTCTCAGAAATTGGGTTAGTTTCTTGAAATTGATTTTGATCACCGATTTTTGGGGAACGATAAATATTCTTGTAATCAGGGTAGAAAAAGCTTTATGCAGATCACTTTTTGAAATCATAAAATATGAAAGGATGTGCCCAGGCTATATTCCAAACATTTTGAGTGACTTCCAGAATACAATTAAGATATATATATAAACATATATATATATAAACAAGAAGTGTGACAATAGCTTCCGGTAGGGTTATTATCAAGCTGCCAAAGGCCGAATTCGCTGATAAGCTGACCGAGTTCGCTAAGCATAATCTTCTATTCCAATGAGCTACCAAAAACTTACAAAAGAAATAAAACAATTGCATTTTTTATCAAACGGAAATGTTTCTTAGTACTTAAAAAGAAATGAATAAAATAGAAAAAAGCTAAAATCCACGAGCAGAAAATATAATATATATATAGACACTACAGTAGCTGTTGTTTTGATGCAACTATAAATAATACAACTCCAAGATAAATTCAAGTTAGCAATTACGCATTTTAAATTATATTTACATGAATTGTAGCTCTGATAAGCAACGAAAAGTCGCTGCACAGTTCTCTGATCTGTATACTTGGCATCAAAACGGACATACACTTGAAAAAATCTACCCTTAACAAAATCACACTAAAATTAAATATAATTTCTGAACATACGAAGAATAAAAAGAATATATAATTATATAATAATAATAGAAAATATTTCTTGTTGTTTTTTGAGATATTCAGAAAATAGAGAAATTTGCTCTGTCCTTCGAGTTGAGTGGAAAGTATTTCAAATCGCATTCTCGGTTTTAAATTAATATTTAAAAAATACACAAATGGACATGCTTTTCTAGACTTTTTTTTGTATTAAAATATCGCCTGGAATGAAGTAAAGAAAATCCCGCCAAAAAACGTGATTTTGAGTGTATATTGTAAATACGTATGCATGTATGGATAGCTTGTTGCGTAGCTATGTTATGCATTGACCAGCGGTTTCTGAATCCGAATCTGAATCTGATTGTGGCAGTGTCTGCCTAATTAGATACGTTATGCAAATAAAGTTTGGGATTCGTGACGATGACGTTGTCGCTTGGAAGTGTCGTCTGTATTGTATGGCAAACAGTTCGTTATCTGCCATCTGCATATACATACATATCTATATATATATTTATATATATATATATATATATATAGACCTATTTACATACAAATATGTAAATGTTAAGTGTTGAGATTCAGATTCGCATTAATCTAACTGCATAAATTGTTGTGAAATCAATTTTCATTTGATTTGCTGATTTGATGGCCGTTAGTTGTACAGATCTGGCCAACTGGCTAACCCCAATTACACCCACACGCATACACATACAGACACAAATACACACACAGCGAGAGAAACTGTCACAGATCAAGTGTGATTGAGTGCAGTAAAAACGAATTTAAGTTAATCAACATTTAAATGGATAATAAAATCGCAGTGTGCAGTCAACAACGGCATTAAATTTTCAGTGCAATCAAAATCAATGCAGAAACAGAAAAAACTACTACAAAAACAGCAACAATATGACATACATATATATATATATATTTATATAAATATATATATATGTATATGATACATATGGCATATGCATATGCATCTAATTGATTTGACAGCGCAATAGTGCATTTAGTGCGATTTTCTATATGCATACATTTTTAGCATATATACATATATACATATATATATAAACATACTTATATATTTTTATATACGATCTAAGTTTATTCGGCATACGTACGTGTGTACTTAGCTCACTTCATAAACGAAAATAATTTATTGACGCATAAAAGTGGCAAAAATAATAAGCAAACGAAAATTTCGATTGATTTTACGTGTCCGCTGAACATTTCTACGATATAATTCGACTTACAAGTGAATTGTGGGATTTAATAGTGTAAAAATAAAATGTATAATTTTATTCCATGTGGTTGCTTTAAGAATCATCATGCTGTCAAGTTGGTCAAGTGCCAGTTAACAATGATAGCCATTATCAGCAAGTAAGACAAGTAGCAGACACTTCAATCTGTTAGCCAAAGAGCTTATTATCAGTCAATTAACCGGAATTGGCGACACTTGACCATTTCGAATAAGGAACACGTTATATATATTTATATATATTTCTTTTTTTTGTTTTTGCTTGGCATTTAGAGTGGGGATTATGATATGAAACACAATCTCCAATGATCGAATCTGACATAGCTTAAGGAAATTCGTTTCTATGCTAGAACCAGAATAGCCACAAAATTCAAATCTGTTGCTCTAATTCAACAATTAAATGCTGTTGACAAACTTTCATCTGGTAGTGATCTTCATAAGCACTTTATTAAGCCTACGCTTATCTACCCAAAGATTGTCTACAAAATACCCTTTATGTGGTAGTTGTTTGATTGCTGAGATTTCACATAACCTATTGGGAACATGTGCCTGACGTACGGAGTAGAAAACCAAACAAACTATGTAATTGTTGTGCCCACAATCCACAATCCGGTATCTTAGCAAAACGAACTTATCTGACAGCTCAGCCAAGGAGCTCAGATAAGAAGGAGAAGCCCAAAAGGCAGCAAGAAGCAGGCAATAAGCGATTGCCACTTTCTACGAAGCCAGAATTCAAAATCGGAGCATATGTTTTCCGTAGAAAAGTGCGAGTAATATGCATGGACCATATTTCGGTTTGGTAGCCCTGCACAACCAGACACAGATACAACACACACACGCACACAGCGACAACATAAAAAGAGAGCTGGTAAAAAAAAAAGAAGAAAAAATGATGAGCCCAACTGTGTGCGGGACAACGGACAGCAGATGCTCAAGAAACATATTGTAAACGAATATGATATTTCGATATGGTGCACACTCCTTGCACAGACTCCGAATCAGAGCCACAGCCACAGCCACAGCCAGACCCAAGCCGAGACCCATACGATGACGACGGCGACAGCGACAGCGTAGCATGCAACAATAGGGGTGCAATTTTCAACGTACACGTAACGGTAGAATATATTTTAGTTGCTGTTACTGTGGCTGAGGCGGTTCTTTTTTTGGAAAAGGGATCTTCAGTGATCTTCTGCTCGTCTGCGACTGCGCACATGTGTTGACTGTCTGTCCCGGCGTCCGCCCCTACTCCTACTCGCTATCTGAATCGGTGTGTGTGAGTGTGTCTGTGATTGTGGTATCGATCTTGAACTCGGCATGCCTGCGGCAGGTTGATATCCCGAAAAAGAAAGGACCAACGAGTAACAACATTAAACGTAGCATGGGGCAACGAACCAGCTACAAAATGCAGTGAACTGTAAGTGAGGAACATTTATTTTTGAAATCGGTCAAATCGGTCGCAAGTGTGTGCGGAGTGAACAAAGAAATTATCTATACAAAAATTTGTGAATTTATTTAGAGGTATGTAGTATTAAATCACATTTTATCCAAGTCATCTATGCTTTTTTTTGGTCAATTATATATTTTATTTAAAATGGGATTGGTTGGCTGGGAAATAATTAATTTTTCTGAACTAGCAAAAATTGTTATGAATAACTTTCTCTCTGTGAGAAAAGATATTAATTTTCATTAGGAATTTCAATTAAATGTAAATCGAGTGATGTGATTTCTTAATTATCACTTCTTATCCTTAACATATGAATATCTCCAAAATACTATTGTCAATTTACTTAGTTAAGTTTTCTCTTTCCGCTTAAGGAGCATCCATCCAGCTCCATCGAGACTCTCAGCATTTGTTTGCTCCATTTTATCAATGATCGTAAATGTTCTTACGCGTTCATTGATCCACATTCTGGACGCATTTAGAAACCAACAAACCAACAGTAGCGCTTTAAAAACCGATTGCATGGCACCCAAAAAAAAAAACAAAAACAAAACTAAAAAACACAAAACCAGAAGCATTAACACATTCCCATTAACGTAATGGGAATCAATGGCCATAAAAGTGAGAATAGGGAACCGAAAAAAAGAAGAAATGCAATCAGAGGTAACACCGGAAACTGTAACAGTAGTAATTTCACTGATGTTCAAGGGTTGAGAGGCAGCAGCATAAAATGGCCAATGGCCCCCCACCGCCACTTCCCTTCCCAACAAATGCAACAATCTGAAAGATCGCCAACAGTCCTGGCCACAAAGCTGAATTGCTGTGATAGTTAGTTAAGGCCGCGGTAGCAACTTGATTCAAACCAGTTTTTCCTAGATTCATTCAAGAAAACAGGCAACACACAGACACGCATAGGTGTGGGCACATATCAAAAGGGTTTCTAGCTGGTAGCTAGAGTTGAATAAAAAAAAAAATACTTCAACTACTGTTTTCAACACTTCACTCACCGGTGGGGCAATAAAATGGAGGCGCGTGCAACGCCCCTCAAATGTAAGACGAGGTAGCCGCTTGTATATTTTGTTTCGTGTCTTTCCTTTTGCGTTATGTATTCGGCTCAAGAGTCTTTATTCTGGTTTTTATTAGGGTATCCAAATTAATTACAACTTCAAATTAGGCGCACAATCTTGATCGGGGAACATAGCCCAGAAAGCAGGAGCTGCCGACAGCTTTTTGATATTCCACCTCTGTCTCTCTCTCTCTCTCGCGCGCTCTCTCTCTCTCTCCCTCTTTCTTGTTTCACACACTTGGCACAAAGTCTGGAACAGTTTTGTGTATGTATCTGTTTGTAGTTGTGGTATCTGTGTAACCCTCTGTGTTTATATCGCGTGGATGGATCAGCAGGCAGGTTGATTATGGCCGGCAAACGAGAGAGATTACGTACGTGCCTGAAACAAAGCACACGAAAGGAAACCGCTCAGAACTGGGATCGGGCAACGGATCGCGTCTTGGCTTTAGTTCGGCTTATAAGACGCAACGCTGACGGCGACGGCGACAGAGATCGAACGACGACGGATCAGTGCGCGACCCACACAAACTGAAACACAGATGCGACTACACACACATACAGATACAACTACACACACACAGATACGCGCACGCACAGACGATCTTTTAAGCGATTTTGTGGTTTTGTAGACAGATTTTTTTATTTTTTGAATCGTTGGCTGCCCTGCTTTGTGGCTCTTAACACACACAGACAGCAAAAAGGTTTAGCGTTTTAGCCTTTCTTGAAGCAGCTCTATTGCTATTTTCGGCTCATTCAATATTTGCACCGCCACTTGAAGTTTGTTTAGACAGCAACAATAATTTGTTATTAATTTTTTTTTTTTCCTTTTTTTTTATTCAATTTTGTATTGCACTCATTTCGATGACACAACAACAACAATTACAACAATTGAGAACACAAAATTTGCCTATCGATTTGCGTTTCTTTATTTCTTTGGCAACAACCGACAGACGATAGGCGACAGACAGACGACGACGCACTCGCGATCAGAGCGAAGCAGAGCAGCGAATATAATTCTTGCTAATTAAATTGTGTTCGCTTGTGCGTTATTTTTTTTCGATTGCTGTTTGTTGTTTGTTTTGTATTGCGTATAGAGTTAAGCAGCATTTAAATATTCAAAGCAGATAACCGTTAGCCAATGCGAGAGAAAAGCAGCACACACAACATATCGCGTCCAAACGCAAAGAGAGTCGACAACAAACTGAAGCAGGCAGCGCAGCAGCAGCAGCGGCAGCAGCAAACCGCCGACGCCGACGCGCTGTTCATGTGTGAGGGAATTGAGCGAGCGGAGCAAGTGCCTGCTGAATCAGAAGCACAAAAAGCAGAACACAAGAAGAAGGAGCGCTAAAGCGAAGAACGGAAAGTGATGAACGCAGAGAGGAGAGCGACGAACGTGGTGGAGCTCGAGAGTGCGGCAACTGATAACGCCAAAAAAGCGAGAGTATCTTTTTGCGCTACTCATGTGGGCAAGTCTGTATTTGAATAGTGTGTGTTGTGTGTGTGTGTATGGGTGTGTGCGCTAAATCACATAAAAAGACGCAATATAGAATAAATTATTACATATTTATATGAACGTACTCGTATTTGTATATGTACAAATATAAATGTCAAATGCACGCATTGAAGATCAACAAAGAGAACAAAAATAACGATTTTCCGCAAGCTAAAAGAGCACACACACACAGATAAGCATATACCGATATGCAGTGTGAGCGAAAAGAAAATCAGAATAACCCAAACAACAAAAACAAAGTGTTTGTACGGAACGAACAACAACAACGATAAAATAAAAACTCTGCGTGGTCAGAACGATACAAGTGTGTGTGTGTATATTAGGTAGCTGAGTTTGAGTAAGCGTGTTTGTGTGTGTGCAGCAATAATTTTTAGCAAGCGACGCACAGTGACACAGAACCACAAATTAACTATTCAATTGTGCCCACTGTGCATATGGAACGCTCCCATAAAGGCTGCAAACAGGTTTACAAACATACAAAAACACACACACGCACATACGGCCAGAGAGACACACACACACATGCATGCACATATGTATTTATATTCTGGCAACGCTTTTCGCATAAGTTACACATATATTTATACAGCTTTTATGTGCGTGTACTTAACTACATTTGTATTAGTGCATCACTGTGCATAAGGCGAATAAGATTTAACGGCTCCTGCTCCCTGTTGCATTTTGCTTGTTCCAGTGGCAGCCTTGCATAACGAACACGTGTAACAAATATGGTTGACTGGCAGCGATAGCAAAGCGATTGTCAACTTGGCGCAGGGGCGGACATTTAATTGCCCTCAAGCGACAAGTGCACGGCGCAGCAGCAGGACGAACTCAACGAAAGAGAGTTGCCACACTCACTGCGAGAGACAGCAAAAGAGAGACAAAGAGAGAGCGCTTGCGCGCAGCTCTCTGCTGTTTGTGTGTGTTTGCTGCGCATGCATATATAAAAATGTATGTGTGTTTGTATGCGTTGCTTGACGACTGCATTTTTACTACGCGTGTAGGTGAGCCGGATTTTTATGAATGAATTTGGTTGTGTGCGTGTGTAATTTGATTTGACGATGAAAATATGCACAATGTAAGCAGACACATAATGGAAAATGAACGGTGAACAAAACAGGCTGAAATGCACACATACATAAGAGCATATGTAAGTATATTTATATGTATGTATGTAAGTGTGTGAGGTTTGTGTATATGTGTAGGTTTAGCAATTCAAGTGGCAAAAAAAGAAACATAACTGCGATAACAGTCGGAAGTTTGTTTAATTTCAGGGCACAATTTGATTTATTCTTGCTGTCGAGTTATATCTAGCAATATTTCTCACTATTGTAAATAATTAATTCATGTATTTCTTACATTTTACTGTATGTTTTTATATATTAACTACGATAATTGATTTGAATTTACTAAAGTACTATTTATGACTACTACAGTATTTTTGCTTCACTGTTATGCGTAAAGTATTTGGTAATATTTAAACAAATTTACGTGTTACGTTTCGGCTTTTCAAATTTTAAATTCGAGTTTCGTTAAGTGAGCAGATAGTTTCGTTCAATTTCAAATTGGCTGCAGCCAACCTTACGTTACGCAAATTCTTTGCTCACGTGAAGTAGGTCGCGCGCAAAACGCAATGATGAGTCGATAGTTTTAGTACTTGACACATCACTAACTGCAACAAATGGCGCCAAATGAAGCCTGCTGTTTTGTGTGTGATAAATAAATAATATATGCAACGTAAATAAAACAAAACCATGGCTGACTTTGGCAAAGCAAAAGTACTGCAAAACACGGGCAAATTCGTGAGTGAAACGCGTGCCGAGGGGTAAGTGCAGCTAAAGTGTAGTTAAAGTGGCAAATCGAAAGTTGTTTTTTATTATTTTTGATTCGTCCAGCGACGATTTCTTTAATGAGGCCGGTTATCGCCAGTCGCGTGAAAATGACAAAATCGACTCGAAATATGGATTTGACCGTGTCAAGGATAGCCAGGAGCGAACCGGCTACCTGATCAACATGCACACGGTGAGTTGCCACTTGAAGTAAAGCAATTATTAAATTGCCCCCTCGCCATTCGCAGAATGAGATTCTCGATGATGATCGCCGCCTGGTTGCCGCTCTGGATTTGTTCTTCATTCAGATGGATGGTTCGCGTTTTAAATGCACTGTGGCATATAAGCCGTATTTGCTGATACGTCCCGAGGCGAACATGCAGCTGGAGGTGGCACGTTTCCTCGGCCGAAAATATTCGGGGCAGTTGGCCAGTTTGGAACACATCAGCAAGGAAGATCTCGATTTGGCTAATCATTTGGCGGGGCTGCAGCAGCACTACCTTAAGCTCTCGTTCCTAAATCAGACGGCCATGACGAAGGTGCGTCGCGAACTAATGGCTGCAGTGCGTCGCAACACGGAACGCGAGAAATCCAATACGTACTACATGCAAATGTTGGCCAATTCCCTGGCCCAGTCCGCTGGCAGCGTTGATGATGGCGGCGGCAAGCGACAGCAGGATTATATGGATTGCATTATGGATATACGGGAGCACGATGTGCCGTATCATGTGCGTGTCTCCATCGATTTGCGCATCTTTTGTGGCCAGTGGTATAATATACGTTGTCGCAGCGGCGACGAGCTGCCGCTCATCACTTGTCGGCCGGATATATTGGACAGACCGGAGCCGGTGGTGCTGGCCTTTGACATAGAGACAACGAAGCTGCCGCTGAAATTTCCCGATGCCCAAACGGATCAGATTATGATGATCTCGTATATGATCGATGGCCAAGGCTATTTGATAACGAATCGTGAGATTATCTCATCCAATGTGGATGACTTTGAGTATACGCCGAAGCCGGAGTTTGAGGGCCACTTCATCATCTTCAACGAGGAGAACGAGATGCAGTTGCTGCAGAGATTCTTCGATCAGATCATGGAGGTGCGTCCGCACATTGTGGTCACGTACAACGGCGACTTTTTCGACTGGCCTTTTGTGGAGACGCGCGCGGCTGTCTACGATCTGGATATGAAGCAGGAGATTGGCTTCTCCAAGATGCGCGACGGCGTCTACTTGAGTCGACCAGCGATTCACATGGACTGCCTCTGCTGGGTGAAGCGCGATTCCTACTTGCCCGTTGGCTCGCAGGGCCTGAAAGCGGTGGCCAAGGCCAAGTTGCGCTACGATCCCGTAGAACTCGATCCGGAGGATATGTGTCGCATGGCCGTGGAACAGCCGCAGGTGCTGTCCAATTACTCCGTTTCCGATGCGGTTGCCACCTATTATCTTTATATGAAATATGTGCATCCATTTATATTCGCTTTGAATACCATTATCCCCATGGAACCCGATGAGATATTGCGCAAGGGATCGGGCACACTGTGCGAAACGCTGCTCATGGTTCAGGCGTATCATGCGAACATTGTGTTCCCCAACAAGCAGCAAAGCGAGCTGAACAAGCTCTCCAACGAGGGCCACGTCCTCGACTCGGAGACCTATGTGGGCGGTCACGTCGAGGCGTTGGAGTCGGGTGTCTTTCGTGCCGACATCCCCTGTCGCTTTCGCCTCGATCCGCATATGGTCAGCAAGTTGATGGAGCAGGTGGACGCGGTGCTTAAGCATGCTATTGAGGTGGAGGAGGGCATAGCCCTTGAGCTGGTCAGCAATTTGGCTGAGGTGAAGCAGGAGATTGTGCAGGCACTGCAGGGACTACACGACATACCCAATCGGCTGGAGCAGCCGGTCATCTATCACTTGGATGTGGGTGCTATGTACCCGAACATCATTCTCACGAATCGCCTGCAACCGTCGGCAATGGTCAGTGACATGGATTGTGCCGCCTGCGATTTTAATAAGCCCGGCGTGCGTTGCAAGCGTTCCATGGATTGGTTGTGGCGTGGCGAAATGTTGCCCGCCTCGCGCAACGAATTCCAGCGCATACAGCAGCAGCTGGAAACGGAAAAGTTTCCATCGCTCTTTCCCGGCGGACCGACGCGTGCCTTCCACGAGCTTTCCAAGGAGGATCAGGCGGCGTACGAGAAGAAACGACTCTCCGACTACTGTCGCAAGGCATACAAGAAGACAAAGATCACCAAACTGGAGACACGCAACTCGACCATCTGCCAAAAGGAGAACAGCTTCTATGTGGACACAGTGCGCGCCTTTCGCGATCGTCGCTACGAATACAAGGGTCTGACCAAGACGGCCAAGGCATCGGTTAATGCTGCTATCGCCTCGGGCGATGCTGCTGAGATAAAGGCGGCCAAGGGACGCGAGGTGCTCTACGATTCGCTGCAGTTGGCGCACAAGTGCATCCTCAACTCCTTTTACGGTTATGTAATGCGTCGCGGTGCCCGTTGGCATTCCATGCCAATGGCGGGCATTGTTTGCTTGACGGGGTCCAATATCATCACCAAGGCTCGTGAGATTATCGAGCGTGTTGGTCGCCCTTTGGAGCTGGATACGGATGGTATCTGGTGCATCCTGCCAGGCTCATTTCCGCAGGAGTTCACGGTGCACACAACGCACGCAAAGAAGCAGAAGATTAACATCTCGTATCCGAATGCGGTGCTCAACACAATGGTCAAGGATCACTTTACCAACGATCAGTACCATGAACTGCGCCAGCCGGGGGCGCCCGGACAGCCGCCCAGCTACGATGTACGAGATGAGAATTCGATATTCTTCGAGGTGGACGGTCCGTATCTGGCCATGGTGCTGCCCGCAGCCAAGGAGGAGGGCAAGAAGCTCAAGAAACGCTATGCGGTCTTCAATTTCGATGGCTCCCTGGCCGAGCTGAAGGGTTTTGAGGTGAAGCGACGTGGCGAACTGCAGCTGATCAAGAATTTTCAGAGCTCCGTTTTCGAGTCGTTTCTCGCTGGGAGTACGTTGGAGGAGTGCTACGCCTCTGTGGCCAAAGTGGCCGATTATTGGCTGGATGTGCTGTATAGCCGCGGCTCCAATCTGCCCGATTCGGAGCTCTTCGAGCTGATCGCCGAGAATAAGTCGATGTCGAAGAAACTCGAAGAATATGGCGCCCAGAAGAGCACCTCCATATCGACGGCCAAGCGTCTGGCCGAGTTCTTGGGCGAGCAAATGGTGAAGGATGCCGGCCTGGCCTGCAAATACATCATATCCAAAAAACCGGAAGGCGCACCTGTGACGGAGCGTGCTGTGCCGCTGGCCATCTTCCAGTCGGAGCCGAGTGTGCGGCGTCATCACTTGCGACGCTGGCTGAAGGACAACACCATGGGCGATGCGGATATACGAGATGTGCTCGACTGGAACTATTATATTGAACGCTTGGGCGGCACCATTCAAAAGATTATCACCATACCGGCTGCGTTGCAGGGCTTGGCTAATCCTGTGCCGCGGGTACGTCATCCGGATTGGCTGCACAAGAAGATGCTAGAGAAGAACGATGTGCTGAAGCAGCGACGCATCAACGAGATGTTCACCAGCAGGCCACGACCCAAACCCGCACTGGGCACCGAGGATAAGCAATTGGAATTGGAATTGGGCGACATGGAGGATTTGGCGGGCAAGCAGGACTCGGAAGCCAGCACCTCCGGCAGACCAATGGTGACCAAGCGCAAACGTGTCCAACTCGATGACGATGATAATGAGAGCAATGCAGCAGAGTCATCACCACAGCCAAAGACCTGGCGCCAGGCGCTCGGTGCACCACCCGCCATAGGCGAAACCCGGAAGACGATCGTGGAATGGGTGCGCTTCCAAAAGCGCAAATGGGCCTGGCAACAGGAGAAGCGTCAAAATTGCCGCCAACAAAGCAAACGTCAGCGTGGTGGCGATGATTCAGCAACGGGTGCCGCCTCGTCACAGGCAGCGACTAGGGCAACCACAGCCACGGCCACATTGGGTGGCTTCCTGCGACGTGCACAACGTACGCTGCTGGATCAGCCGTGGCAGATACTGCAACTGGTGCCGGTTAACGATTTGGGCCAATTTACTGTGTGGGCGCTCATCGGCGAGGAACTGCATCGCATCCGGCTGACAGTGCCACGGATTTTCTATGTGAATCAACGCAGTGCGGCGCCACCCGAGGAGGGTCAGCTGTGGCGCAAGGTGAATCGGGTGTTGCCGCGTTCACGGCCCGTTTTCAATCTGTATCGGTACAGTGTGCCCGAGCAGCTGTTCCGGGACAATTGCCTGGGCATGCTGGCGGATTTGGCCACGCCCGACATCGAGGGCATCTACGAGACGCAAATGACTCTGGAGTTTCGTGCCCTGATGGACATGGGCTGCATTTGCGGGGTGCAGCGCGAGGAGGCGCGTCGTCTGGCGCTGTTGTCCACCCGCGAGCTGGAGAGCTTTAGCATTGAGCAGCTGGAGCAGCGACCACAGACACACATCCGATATCTGCAGCAGGCCGGCACAAAGCTGCGCAAAATTTATCTGTATCAGCACAATATACCCACGGCCAAGAAGGAGATGTGGGCACTATTCCTGCTGCCCAGCAAGAAGGCATTGGTCTTCGCCTTGGACACGGTGCGTGCTAATCAAATGCCCAACATGAAGCAGCTCTACACAGCGGAGCGTTTGGCCCTGATCAAGAGTCTGCAGCAGCAGGCACAGGCGGAGAAACTGCCTCCGGAAGATTTCAGCTTTGAGCTGCTCATCGAGGTGGATGTGAAGCAGATCTACAGGCACATTCAACGTGCGCTGGCCGCGTACAGGCAGGAGCAGCCGGGACCCACCATGCTCTGCCTGCAGACGGCAACCGAGGCCCGTAAGCTGAGCGCTGTGATGCCCGTGCTGCTCGAATTTCCGCAGGTCCAGATCCACATCTCGGACGATGCCAGTCTGCTGTCGGGGCTCGACTGGCAGCGACAGGGTGCTCGGGCTGTGGTGCGTCATTTCCTCAATTTGAACAATGTGCTGGAATTAATGTTGGATCAATGTCGTTATTTCCATGTGCCCATTGGCAACATGCCGCCAGATACAGTTCTCTTTGGTGCGGATCTCTTCTTTGCCCGCCTGCTGCAAAAGCACAATTTTGTGCTCTGGTGGTCGGCTAGCACACGGCCCGATTTGGGTGGACGCGAGGCAGACGACAGTCGTCTGCTCGCCGAGTTCGAGGAGAGCATTACGGTCGTTCAGAATCGTGCCGGTTTTTATCCGGATGTGTGCGTTGAACTGGCCCTGGACAGTCTGGCGGTGAGTGCACTGCTCCAATCGAATAAGATCCAGGAAATGGAGGGAGCCTCATCGGCAATAACGTTCGATGTTATGCCGCAGGCATCGCTCGAGGAAATGATCGGAACTGTGCCGGCGGCGACATTGCCCAGCTATGATGAGACTGCTCTCTGCTCGGCAGCGTTTCGCGTGATGCGCTCCATGGTGAATGGCTGGCTTCGTGAGGTGTCCATCAATCAGAACATCTTCTCCGATTTCCAAATCGTGCACTTCTATCGCTGGGTCCGCTCCAGTAACGCCTTGCTCTACGATCCGGCGTTGCGCAGATCCCTCAACAATCTGATGCGCAAAATGTTTCTGCGTATCATTGCCGAGTTCAAGCGTCTGGGCGCCACCATTGTCTATGCGGACTTCAATCGGATCATACTCAGCTCGGGCAAGAAGTCGGTGTCGGATGCGCTGGGCTATGTCGATTATGTTGTGCAGAGTTTGCGCAACAAGGAAATGTTCCATTCCATACAGCTGAGCTTTGAGCAGTGTTGGAATTTTATGCTCTGGCTGGATCAGTCCAATTTCTCCGGCATTCGAGGCAGATTGCCCAAGGGCATTGATGAGACAGTCACCTCAATTGTGGCGGGCAACACAACGTTGCGTCAGAGTCAGGCGAGAAGTGAGCAGGTGGATGACAGCGACGATAATGATGATGATGATGATGTGCAAGCACTTGAAGCAGCCCTCGATGAACAGCACGCGGACGAGGAGGAGGAGGAGGAGCTTGCCTTAGAGCTTAACTGGACCATTGGTGAGCAGCTGCCGGATGAGAACGAGTGTCGCGAGAAATTCGAATCACTGCTGACGCTCTTCATGCAATCGCTGGCGGAGCGCAAGAGCACCGAGCAGGCAATAAAGGATATATCGCATTGTGCCTTCGACTTTGTGCTCAAGCTGCACAAGAACTATGGCAAGGGCAAGCCCAGTCCGGGCTTGGAACTCATACGAACCATGGTCAAGGTGTTGAGCGTGGACAAGGGTTTGGCAGAGCAGATCAATGAGCTGCGTCGCAACATGTTGCGCCTGGTGGGCGTGGGTGAGTTCTCCGATCTGGCCGACTGGACAGATCCGTGTGATACGCACATAATCAACGAGGTCATCTGCAAGGCGTGCAATCATTGTCGCGACCTGGATCTCTGCAAGGACAAACAGCGCGCCCTGAAGGATGGCATGTGAGTGGTGCAGCCCTGCTCATAATTACATATCAACTTATAAATGTTATTTGATTTGGTTGCAGTCCTGTTTGGCTATGCGCTCAGTGCTATGTAGCCTACGACAATGAGGAGATAGAGATGCGCATGATTGATGTGCTGCAGCGCAAAGTGATGTCCTATGTGCTCCAGGATCTGCGCTGTGTGCGCTGCAACGAAATCAAACGCGAAAATCTCGCTGAGTTCTGCACCTGTGCTGGCAATTTCGTGCCCCTAATCAGTGGCAAAGAGATTGAAACGCTCCTCAACACATTTAATAACGTTGCCAGCTACCATAAGATGCAGTTGCTCCAGCAAACGGTGCTGCAGGCACTAAAAACTCCCCGTTAAACATGAGCCAGCGACATTTAAGTATTTTCTAAATATGGATTGAAATTTGTGTTGATTAAACTCGTTTTACATTTCATTTCTACACTTTTAATTTTCTGTAACTGACTCATAATAGTTGGTCACATTTCGTAATTTTTCAACCTTTACTCTAAATTGTATGGTTTAAGTGAGCTTTTATAACGCAGCCAATTTGGTTGTCTACACTTGGCTTCCGGCAGCTGGAGCTGCACCGAAAGAAATTATAAAAGTCGGCTGATCCCAGCAAAACGCTTCCTTAAGTTTTTGAAAAGTGCTAGTTGAAGAAAAAATCGTAGGTCTGCCAGAATTCTTTTATGGTCAAAATAACGTGGCAACTGTATCGAAAATAAGACACTATTTAGACAAATCGAAAGCAAAAACAAAAAACTATAGAAACCACACAAATGTATAAAATAAGAACAACGGAGAACGTTGCAGTCAGGCGTAACCGACTGAGAAATTCTTTGATAACATAACTAATACCAGCTGATAGCCGGAAGCAAGGAGCAGAGTGGGCGCAGCCAAAAAATACCGAGATGGTTCTTAGTAATCTTCCTTTCAATTTTGGTATCTGTAACTCTTAAATTGCAGGAGATATGGGCTTTTGAGAACTTTGGGCGTGGCAAAAAAGATGTTGGAGGACGATCTTAGTAATTCGATGTTTGGTAACTGTAGCTCTTAAATGCGGGAATCTTGGAGGCGGAGACATACATATTAATACATATTAATAGCATCACGTACTAAAAGTCCCAAAATACCAGTTACAAAAATCTTTTTTTAAATAATACATACAACAGATATTTATGTACATAAGTATAAATATAAAACCAACCAAAAATACCTTAATAATCCCCACAAAAAAAACATATACCAGAAAAATACACATAATGTAATAATGTAAAAATGACTGTGTAAAACAATAAAAATAAAATCAGAACCAAATCTATTATGTATAAAAACATTCACTGTTGACATGAACATTGAACAGTGCACTCCAAACACTTAAGGAGTTAATAAACAAATAAAATTGTTTTAGTCATATACAAAAAAAAAAGTAATTGAATTAAATGAATTATTAAAATGATTAATGTTGTATTTTTAAAATCTATTCACCTTTTGAAAATTATAATTGATTACGGTGCCAGTTTATATTACATATTAGTATATCCACTCTAGAAGACAAGATAAACAAGAAGGATGCTAGCAAATAAACTTCAGAATAGGTAATAGGTTTATTTGTAGGGAATCTCTTTTAACTCGCATTCAGAGATTCATGGTGATTATAGACAGCGAGGATCGATTACCAGCTCAGATACCGCAAATTTTAGGGGACAGTCAAGTAGGTATAAGCAACTCCCCTCTAATAATACTAACTGTAACTAACAGGGTCCCGACCGCCGCTGTGAACCAGAGGCCTTCTTGTAGGTTATATTTAAAGAAGGAATTGTATATTCTAGGGAATTCCTTTCAAAAGACAGATTGAAAACTACAACTTGAGTTGACAAAGTTCAACGATCTGTCGTCGTCGAATAAATATACGGTCTGTGCCATTTGCTAATCAGTTAAGAGCGTTCATAAATTTAAAATCATTCACCCGAATCGATGTTTAAGCAAATTGATAATAAAAACAACTTTCTCATAAAGCATATTTAAAATTGAATTTTGTGAGAAAACATGTTTTTTTTTTTTACAATGAGAATATTTGATGCAAGCCTTAATGCGATAAAGTGAAAAGTAAAAGTAGAGACTTTTTAATGGGAATATTAGGCCACGGCTACTGGCTTACCATCTCGAATATACTCTTCAAAGTTCTTGTCATCTAATAGTCCAGGATCAAAATCGTTAATAATCTGAGGTAGGACTGGATTTTCCAACATTGTAGAGTGATTGCCCTCGATGACCTTTAGGGTTACTTTACCAGAAGTTAGCTGGGAAACACAATAATCTTCTTCGATGTCCTTTAGGGACACCTCTGCGGGACGGACTAACATAATGGGAGACTTCAAGTCCCTTATGCTGTTCAGATCGAACTTCGCTGCGATTTTAACCCTTCGGAATAAGGCCTCGATTATCACTTTGAAGTATTCTTTGCTGTAGATATTCTGTTTGTCCACATATTTCATGAATAAATCCATTTTCTCCTTGAGAGTGTCGAGCTTGTGGAAAACGGCAGATACGCTCTCCTTAGTTTCCTCTGGGAATATTTGATTGACAATACTTGAGAACAGCAAGTCATACAGGGAGTTATCTGTGCAATTTTCTCCCAGATGTAAGTTCGTAAGTTTCGTTAGGAAATGCGGTGCACCATCTATCAAAAGAACATGTCCACGGTAACCCAATTGCTCCAGCAGTGCGGCCAGTTGAAGAGCCACATACGATCCATAAGAATATCCAATAAGGTAGAATGGATGTGTGGGCTTCAGCAGGGCTTTTACATGCTACAACAACAGAGTGATGATTATTTTTTAAAGATTTATTCATAAATATATTCGAAAAATCGAAATCTGTAATATGCTAACCTCCAATGTCTGTTGACCAATATCATTGATAGTCTCCAGCTCTGCAAACTGATGGAGTTGTAATACATTCGCCCTGCTGTTCAACTTGGCTCCAATATTATACCATGCTTGGCCAGCTGTTCCTTCTATGCCAGGTATTATAATGCTAGGTGGAAAATTTTGCTTTGTCAGTCTCCCATGCGTTTGAAGGGAATACATTATCTGATCGGAATGGGCTTCATCACCAAAGTTACGCAGTAAAAGCTCTATACCCATTAGCTTTCCTTCGGATGCTAAGATCATTTTCACCGCATCCGAATTATCCTTTTCCCTTGCCTCCATAATCTCTTGCAGCTTTTGGACGGTGAGTGACCGCAGATCCTGAGGAGTCAATACGAGTTCAAAGTCACGTTCAAGCGTTTGCTTGATTTCAACGGACATGAGTGAGTCCATGCCCATTTCGGACAGTGTTGTGCCCAGCGAGACAGACTTTAAGTCGCGTATACCCATTATGTGCATTACCGTATCGATAATACTTTCATTTCCGGAACGACCTGAGCGCTTTTCGGCAACAACCATACTGGCTACAACGGCCGATTTTGCACTTAGTAGTGTGTCCAGTTCGTGTAGGCATGATGAGATTCTTTGCTGCAGCGTTCCACCGATTTCCAAGTCAATTTTATCTTCGGCCATATCGGCGACTAATCCCACCTCACCCACAGCACCCCATTGAATGGCCTTGGCTGGCAGACCCTCCCGGCTGCGGCCCTCGATGATACGCTCCATGACAGAATTGGCCATGCCATAATTGGTTTGTCCAGCATTTCCACGACCACAGGACACACTTGAGAATACTACGAAATGGTCCAGCTCTGGGCACAAGGTGCGGGATAATGCATCCAAATGTTTGGTGGCAACCGCTTTTGGCGAAAAGCTTTGCACAAATTGCTCCATATTTTGATTGGCAAAGATGCCGTCACGTAGGGCAACTGCTAGATTGAAAATACCGCCAATTGGACCCAGTTTAGCAGCCTCCACCAAGAGATTGCGACAGCCCTCAACTGTTGATATATCTGCTGTGTTGACTACAACTTCACAGCCGTAATTCTTCCAAAGCCTGCGAGTTAGAGAGAGCGACCGCAAAATTATTAAGATGTTTACAGTTAATCCAATTGAAATAAGCAAATACATACGCAATTCGAAAGGACTGATAGTCCTTGGTAATGCCACGGCTGGAGCTGAGCACTAGCTTGCGGGCACCACGCAAGCACATCCAATCGGCTAATTCCAAGCCGAATCCACCCAAACCACCCGGAATGACATAAGTCATATGGGGCTTAAAGTAGATTTGGCTTTGGACACGTACTGGCAGAGTTTCGGCTGCTTCCGGGTTATCACGCACTTTAATTATGACCTTGCCAATATGCTTGCCACCAATCAAATGTCTGAAGGCCTTCTCAATCTCATTAGCCGGAAACACTGTGACTGGCAATGGTTGTATTATGCCACTGGAAATATCCATGTCAATGAGTTTCTTCAAGTGCTGCAAGCAAAATGAGATTTTATTAGATTATCAATAAATCGGAGTAACAAAATTGTACAAAAAATAATTACCCAAATATGATCATCGGATGCCACCAACAGACTATCCGCCAGCACCGCATGGAAGGTGAGCTCTTTGAGGAAACAGCCCAAGCCGAGCTTGGTATCCTTGGCCATATCGAATTTGCCAATCTCGAGGAAGTGGCCCGACTGCCCAAGACAGCGCACCGACGCCAGTAGCTTGTCTTCTGAGAGTGAATTCAGCACAAAGTCAACACCCTTTCCATCGGTTTCACACTGTATCATTTGCTCAAAGGACGTGTCTCGAGAATTGCCAATGTGCGATTCTAAAACGTGATATCTCTTTTATTTTTGAGCAGTAAACCAATACGTGACACAGCTTACATACCTTCCAGCTGTGGGAAGGTGTCCAAGAGGAATTTCTTCTTCAGTGGAGTACTGCATGTGGTATACACATCCAAATTGTCGGCCAATGCCACGCGAATTGCTGCCAGGCCAATTCCTCCTGTTCCGGCGTGTATAAGTATGCTCTTTCCTTTGCGAATGTCGGTTGCCATAAAGAATGCGTAATATACGGTTATATAAACAACTGGCACCGTAGCAGCATCCTGCAGCGACCAGTGGTCGGGAATGTTCCAAATAAGCTTCGATGGCTTATCCACATATGAAGCGACACCTCCCTTAACAACCATGCTCATAATTCGTCGACCGGTTTGCATATTGATGCCGGAGTATTCAAATCCAAGCACACAACTTTGATCGATTCGGTTAGAACCGTCTAATTCAGTTGCCAGTCGACCAGTTGCCAGCATTACGTCTTTGAAGTTGAGCGATGAGTACGCGGTCTTAATGATACAGTCTTCCGGATCAAGAGGTCCCTCAAACCAGCGCAATGACGACAAATCTCCGTGCTGCATCACATTTCCATAAATGTGATCTAGTCTAGGTTTGACCTCATCATTAACGGGCAGATTCAGATGTCTGAGACTTCCCCAAGTTCCCTACACAAGTTGTCGGGTTATTATGAAATATTTCAGTTCACATATATATATACTTACATGGCGATATATGTTGAAAGCCAGGCCCAGTGCAAATTGGCTGGAATAAAATGGATCTGCTAAGTTAAACTCGGGTGCTTTCGGATCATCAATATAGAAACAGGTGACCAAGTTGCCATCGGGCTCCTTTCGCAAGCAATTCACTAATCCAACCAGACCATTGTGTTTCTCATTGAAAGCGTAGGCAACAACAGCACTCTTCATACTAATGGCAGACTGCACCTGACTTATCCACTCAAACTTCATGTCGCTATCAGAAACTTTGACGACAGTCGGCTGCAATTGCAATTTCTTGGAGATATTCTGGAGTAGTACGAAGACTTCCTCATTGTTGTCTATTGGAATGACCGTGATCAAGTGGAATTGTTCGGGCAGTTTTAAGTTGCTTATGTTTGTCGTGGGTCGTTCTCTAAGCAATAAGTAGCCGTTATCTACCAGAACCTTTTGGGCATTCATAATCACATCCTCGTTGAGATCTCCACGAGTTCCACCGGCTACAATGAAATGGTAATTGGATA